ATCTAACACCCTCTTTCGAAAAGGTTACTTGTCGTACGTTACACGAGGTTTTGAATTGTGGAGCGACAGAGTCGCAAACTTCCGAACGCAACAATAGATTTAAATTTGCGCATATTTAATTTCTCTCCATATATATAAAGCGCGTAAAATTTTTTCAATTTATAACATTGGCCATCACTTGAAATGATATACGTGTGCGTTATTTCATAAAAATAAAGTATAATATAAGTCATACTTTAAAGAACTAAAATGATAATACACTTCAAGTTAGTCAATAAAGTATGCCAAATATTTTTTTTTTTTTACCTTACTTCGCTATCCTGAAGGTCCTTAGACACCTTTAGGATCTGTCATATCTCTTAAAGGCCAGGGTTATCATTCTGCGAAGATCATCGGACAGCGTGTGGCCTCTGCATGTCACCAAACTCGTGAGATAACTCATGCTTCATCAAGTCCGTCATATGACGTCCTGGGTCCCTGGCCCCGCGGTGTAAGACCTACTATCCTTTTCGGTCTGTAGTTCCTTAACTTCACATGACCTACTAGCTAGATCATCCTTATATTTCAAAGTCCTTAATTCTACCATTATGTATTCTTAAATCGGGTTCTCTCAATGTTAACATCATTTGTTGACGGATTACGCCTTATCTGGTTGTTCCCGACCCTGTGGCTATGTCAGTGACTGCATTCTTTTTGTATGAATCTTGTTCTTGCTTTTAAATGAAAGTCCTCTGCAGATCTTTTTTCCAATCGTGATCCTGGCAAAGTTGTTGTCACCCTCGAACTCGCGACCTTGCGATTGAGACCCGGGAGTGCTAACCACTGCGCTATCGACCCACGGGTCTATGCCAAATATTTAAACTAATAAGTAATATAAAATTTAGATAAGAACCAAATTCTTATATAAAAGGTACAGTCAAACCTCAGTTATGTCTCCGCTAAGATGTATCTCAACCTAAGTTATATCTCCACCATTTAGCGGAATAAATATCCTACATTTATTAAATATTGCCTCAGTTATACGTATCTCTAACTAAGTTATATATCCAAAACTCTCTAGACAAATGGGGTAATATAACTGAGATTTAACTGTATAACTTAGGTGGAGATATAACTGAAGCAATATTTAATAAATATAGGATATTTATTCCGCTAAATTGTGGAGATAACTGAGGTTTGACAGTATTAAAAGAAAACTAGACTTCAGGATTTTGACTTATAATAAATCAATTCAGCGTAAAAATTCAAAGTCTGAAATTCTGGTTTCTTTTAATAACGCTTATCTATGAATTAATATCATTTGTATAAAATAAACTTATCTAAATATTTAAATAAATTTATGGAAAATTCTATTTCGACCGGGCTAAAACCCTCCAGTAAAATTTGGTGTCAGTGTGGACCGGAATTATGTTGATGCTAGCCGGGCTTTTTTAAACTGGGTAAAATCACCACCCTAAAAAGTTTCAAGACCAAATCTCAAGCATCAGGTGTAACGTAACACAATCAGAAAAATTCAAAACAAACGTTCACTTTGTCAAAAAACACTTATAACCCAAAATTTCGTCTATGAAACTGTCTTATACGCGTTAATTAAAAATTTTCCTTGTAAAATTTTGCTGTAGTAAATGATTTTAAACACCGATTTAATGGCAAAATCCTAATCCTAACCTAAAAAAAAAACGAAATTTTACTTGAAACTTTTTTTGGTGGCAATTCTTTCAACAGACTGGGCTGTGTTCCATCCCTACTTGTCACTTATTTGATTTAATAATTTGTCGGCTAAACCGATATTTAACTGTATGGTCAACCGGCTATGAGCGATTACGGCTGTTTTCATAAATTCTGGAAAATCAGGCAACAATAGACCGACCGAACATTTGCCGATTCGATAAGTTTCGATTCAGCAATGAGTTAGATCCGAGTCAAAAGTTTATCAAAACTTATCGAATCGGCAAGTATTCGGTTGGTCTATTTTTGCCTGATTTTCCAGAATTATGAAAACATCTGTAACCAATAATGACCGCCGAACCCATCCCTAATCATAAAGTTAACTGAAAAGATATCTCAAATATTTTACTATTAAAGTTCCTTACAAAATAGTTTTCTTTTATTATTACATAATTCGGTTTTATTATTTGCATAAAAATTTCTGCTGAAATTAAGCTCATAATTTTATTTATTTACCTACAAAGACTTAATTAAATGTCTAACAGTATTAAGTAAAATAACAACTTGAAAATTTTACAAACATTCAATCCATTTTTTAAACAATTCTAGTGAATTCTTTGGTTGATCATGCGGTACAAAATGGCCAGATTCGAAGACGTTAACAAACCATAAATTTTTAACTTTTTTAATTTTGCCAACTTTTACTCCATCCACAGTCCAATCATGAAATATGGCATTCCTAAATTGCTTGCGATGTTTCCATTTCAATGATTCAACCATTTTAATGCCACCAAACCTTTAAGGAATAATCAGTTAAAACAATTTTCTTGTTAAATGAGAATAAATATAGTAAATAAGTTGTGCTATATTACCAGTTGCAAATATAATCAGCATCACCAGTGAAAAATAATATTGGTACATTATTATCAAGAAGATATTCTGTATGAGACTTTGTAGAATGTATCCTAATTGCAAAGAAACAATATTATGATTAAAAAATTAACATTTTAATTCTAGTAAACTCAATCATTTTTAAATAGTACATACGCATCACCAGCCTTTACAAATCTAGAATAAATTGTCTCATTAACTTCTACATAGTTTGTTACTTCTTTATTATTAACACCAATTGATTTCAAAACAAAAGGATTGTCCAAGTATCCTGTATATACTGGATCTGGAAAGCCACTTTGGGTACGAATATCATAAGCGCCAACATTATAATTTAGAGGAAAGATATTAGTATAGTTCTCAAGGCAAGTCATACTGGATGAGAAGCAAGAATCTTCCGTATTAATTTTATAACATTCATCGACTGTTAATTGAAATTGGAGACAGTTAGTTTTCAAAACTTTATTATTGATTTATAAGATACGGAGACAACATACTATCATGTTTACATAATGTCCATGCATCATGCATCGCCTTGATTAACTGTGGATCCAACAAGGGTTTGTCTGTATGTAAAAAAAAAGAGATTTAGGTATTTTATATGTCAATGAAAAAATAAAAAAAATTTTATACATTTATTATTCTCTGCAAAATTAATATAAGATCTCCTAAAGTATAATATAAAAAGTTAGCAGTATATACTATAAAGTCATTTTCTAAAATAAATACAATTGTAAATAATACTTGCAATTGAATAATAGGGTCAATCCAAGCGCCTCCAATCCCACAAGACTTAAGATTAATTTGTATTAAATCTTCTAATTTGCCATTTTTGATTATATGATTATTTTGTATAATAAGTTTAGCCATGGCTGGAACTAAAAATGATGAAAAGAAATAAATAAATAACAATACATTGTAGATAATAATTTATGAATGACATTACCATAATGACCACCATAAGATTCACTAAAAAAATGCAAATCCAATGATGCATATTTTGGAAATTTTGTAAAAAATTTTTGCAAAAACAGATATATATCCAAGGCTGCTTGTTCTGACGTATTCACCATATGCGCACCATATGAAAATCCAGCACCAATTGGCTTTAATTTAAATTTTTATGTTAATAATATTTAAGGCAGATTGGGGCATTGGGGCAAAGTTAATAGATCATATAGAATATCTTGTAATATATACGTCTTATCAGCATTCGAACATTGTACAAAGTTTTGGGATATTGTGCAAATTTATGGAGAATCTAATATAACTTGGGATCTATTAATCCAATCTAGATGATTTTTATCTTTTTCGATTCGCACTTATGAGACGAACTGAATAGTGCAAAAATTACACAATTTCGACCATTAGATTAAGAAATATTGTTGTTCCAATATATATATACCAATTCGTTTTTTAACAAGTCAATATGTAACATTCAAGCGCTAATATTTTGTGACCCAGTAATCGAAATTGAATTTTTTGCACCATTTTATTCGTCTTATCAAGAAGAATTAAATGATATAAAAATCATCTAGTTTAGATTGATAAATCTAGAGTTACATTAGGTTTTCCACAATACCCGTTTTACCTTATATAATAATGATCAAAATTTTAAATTACGATATTAAAATATTAATAGTAATCTAACCTGGTCAATGAACAATAAATTTGTCACTTCATTCCAACTATTTTCAGATGGTATACTTGTGTTTATATTCTTTTCTACTTTACAAGGACCAACTTCTTGAAACAACGCAAACATTGAAGAAAAACCGGGACCGCCACTAATCCATATTGTTAATGGTGAATTTTTTGGATTTTTACGAGATTCAAAAAACCAAAAAAACATATTTGCATCTGGCGCAATGTTTAAATATCCAGAATACTATTTTAAATTTGATAAATGGACTATTTAATTATTTATCTAAAATATTTCAAAAATAAATATAAATTTGTGCAATATATACTTGTTTAACTTTCGGATCACATAAATTGCTTGAAACAACATGATCACCTTAAAATATATTTAAAAAAGATGAATATATTATAAAAAGTTTCGATTCAAATAATTCTATATCTGCCTTACGTATAAATACATCCGTTTTAATATAATTTTTATCGGAAAAGACTATAGGTAGTAGCAGGTGAGTAGTTATAATGAATAACATCAAAAATAAAATCATTTTGGTGAAAAAAAAATTGGGATATAACGAATAAAATTTCTTAAAGATCATTATGAAATATTTATAAAATTAAAATGTTAAAACACACGGGTAATTAAATAGAATACATATAAGAAGGGAGCTAAATACTTATAAATGTAATTTTTGGTGTAAATTGCAGCAATTAACTCAATGAAGTCGCAACAAAAATATGCACCAGGAGCAAAGTTATAAATATATCATGGAGTGTATTGTTATACAGCATTTAATGGCATTCACAAAATCTTGCAATTGATTGGATGTTGTGTAAAGGCGTGAGTGCAGATTTGATTTTTTGACATATGATTCTTTTCTTTAATAAGAATAGCCAATACCGATGTGAGATTAGGAACGTGACATGATAGCAGGCACGTGACCATGGGACCTAGGGAAATCCAAATTAGGACGTACCCTGCCGAAAATTTTAATAATACCGATACAGCACTCGTATAAGGCCAGCTTTGGGTTTATTGATGATTTTAGTAATAAAGCTAATTTCTGCAAATATAAATAATTGAATTCAAAATTATAAATAAAGGCCATCTTGGCCCATCGGGAAGAACAAATCCCGTTCTTGCTTTATTAATCAAAAATACAGAAACTTACAAGTGTCGCCTATAAACATGAAAACTATTACACCCTAAAATCCCGTACCTATGCCAAGTAGTTACTAGGACCATTAACTGGCTAGAAACAATCCCGAAACTCTGCCTAACCTCTCAGCCAAATATAACACGCCTTTTTCGACCTAAACCAACCCAAACATCGGTTATACGAAGTCACTTTCACACAAGCGACAAACTCGCTAGTTTTTCGATTCTTACCATGAATGCATTTAGGTTACTATTATTGTATATTGATTTCTAAAAAAATTCCTCTTATGATAAAGTTATTTTAATTTGGCAGTACAAGCAGTCCTTGATAAGATAAATAAAGATGTTAATAAGGCATAATTACTTTTTTTTTGGTATTAAGGTGATTTCTTTGGTCTTTTGACTTTATTACCATTTTTGTTGGGCACATGTTTATAATGTCTATATTGAACTATTACAGATGAGTATACAACTAACTACACATGTAATTTTTCTATATTACCTATTTAAAGAGTCTGCCTGAAGGTTCCTCACCAGTTACTGTATCTAACACTCCTACTTGGATGTTCTATTTGAACCTTCTGATCTGTAACCTTTGTATCAATTTCATCAGATCATCCAGGATCCAAATCCTTGTCTCAACCTTAGGACAGTTATCTTTGAGATAAATCTCTGAAGTTTTCTGTATTTTCATTTATAGTTCAACTGATTGTGCTATAATCAAAACCAACACTTACAGTCAAGGTAAATTTTTAAATTAGTCTTATTCTTATAAAGTTCATCTAAATTCTGTTATCTATTTTTTGATATCTTTTTCATTTTTTTTTGCAAACTACTACTCAGAAACAATAGAATGCATCAGACTACCAATTAAGATGATTCAGTATGATATATTTATGTATTCTTTTTTCTTTGGTAATTCTGATGACCTGATTAGTGTATATATTTTTCTTATATATTTGTTATTTAGTTTATTTGATAATTTTTTTGAAAGTGTTTTATAGGTTTTCATTAATCCAACAGTATTATTAAAAGTTTGTGCTACCTTTTAGGATTTCCAAGTAGGTTTCAATTTTTCAATTTTTGTTTCAATTCTTCAATTTCTTAGTTTTCTGCATTTGGTGATCTTATTACAGATTTGTAACAATGTCTTATATTATTTTTTTTATATTTTTTTATATATGTGTAATGTTACATTTCATATAGATAACTTAACTTTTCAATATTAGGTAAGATTTAACTTGATATATCTAAGATTACAAATTTCTAAATTCAACTAATTAATAAGAAACAATACTATAATACAGATATAATGTTCTAAATTTATTATCTATAAAAATTAAAGATTGACAACTTATTTATTTTATTAGGTTATTATATCTCTATAAGACATAATTATATTTATGAAAAAGTTTATAATTTATTATAAAAAAAAGGATAAAATTTAAAATTAAAAATAAAAAAATTAAAGATCTAAGAACTTTATTCTACAATTTATACATTATTTTAATGTGTTAAGTTTTTTGAAAATACTTGTAATGTATATTATATAAAATTTATTAAATCTATTTTAAATTGTCCTATTTGATAAAACTTTATATATGATATTAGTATAAATAGATTATTTATCAAATTAGTAAGTTATATATTTCTAATATTTTAATGTTACTAAATTAAAGAATAGAACTAAATATGTAAAAAATAAGTTTATATATTTAGTTTTATGTTTTAATGTTACAATACTTATTTTATATTCTAAAAATAAATTTTTAATAAAAAAACTTTTGGCATATAATTTTCTTACTAGTATTTATAATAATTTTATTAGTATGCTATTTTATATAATTAATAGGTTATTTTAGAAGAAATTATTGAGTTTTTTTAAACTATTTAAAAATTTTATAATAAAAATGTTATCAAACCCAAATAATATAGTATTTTGAATTATTTTTTCTTTTTAATAACATTTACAATATATTAAAAATATAGTTTTAAATATAAATATTAAGAATAATTAGATAATATACTGTATAATTTAGAAAGTTTTAAATATATTAAAAAATAAAAAATAAGTAAAAAATAAAATAAATAAAATAAAAATAATAAAAAATAAATAATAATAATAAACTAAAAAAATTATATTATTATATTTTAAAGTTATAAATTATATTAGGTTTAAATTACAGATAACTTGTTTAAGCTTCTAATCTTATTATTTTATAGATATAAAATTCAGATATAAATTTTTTCTGTATATTCTATTTGTAAAATATTTAATTGAATTTTAATGAAAATAAAATTATAATCTTATCTTTAATATTAAAAAAAGTTATAGCTCATATAAAATTTTTTTTTTAATATTAATGATAAGGCCATGCCTTTAACTTTATTGAAATTCAATTGAAGTTTTTACAAAGAAAAGCTTGCTTTTAA